AGGCAGGAGAATCGCTTGAACCCAGGACGCAGAGGTTGTAGTGAGCAGAGATCGCACCACTGCACTCCAGCCTGGGCGAGAGAGTGAGGCTCTGTCTCAAAAAAAAAAAAAAAAAAAAAAAGGTGAGCCTCCAGCAGCCTGGAGCAGCGTATGAGAGTGAGCTGGAGGAGCAGCAGGCAGAGGATGTTCTGCACATCTCAGGCCCGGGCGCTCAGGTTCTGGAGGAGAACCTCCTCCTCATACCCTCACGATTCTTCCACATTACTTGCCCAAAGACCACCTTGAGCACCTATGTTTCCTCTGCTGAAACTTCTCCTTTATTTCTAGCACCTCTTCGGCACTATTAATAACCTTCTTGTCACCCTGTTCTTCACCAAAATTTTAGGATTTCATTCCAAGTCCTGCCGTCACCCTGAAGACCCCAGGTTCATGTGAGCAGCCCAGCCAACGTCCAGGCCCTCTCTGATCCTGGGCTTCCTCATCTTTAGTGATTTTCAGCTCATTCTCCTTCAGCCATCAGCCCTATGGCCACACCCAAGTTCTTGTCAGCATCTAAGAGAAGCTCGCCCTCTGAAACCGTGAATTCACAGATCCTTACAGAGAACTGTGAAGGGTCTAATATTTTACCCCACTTGAAAACTTACAAGTTATCCTGGTATAGTTTTATGGGTGCTGGAAGAAAACACAAGGCTCCTGGGTCAGAAATGAAGGATGACTTATCACCCACAGCAATAGCAGTAAGCCAGACTACTAGAATTTGTGTGCCGGTTCCCTGAGTCCCAGTTCCCATGGAGCAAGGCGAAGAGCGCTGGACTGTTTCCGCACACTGAGCGGGTCACATTACAGGAGAGGAGTGCGGAACTGAGGAAGCAGAATCTGTTACTAATTAATTAATTAAGTAATTGAGACTTACTCTTGCTCTGTCTTCAGTCTTGAGTCTTGGTCTGTCTTGGGTCTTGCTCTGTCACCCAGGCTGGAGTGCAATGGCACGATCTCAGCTCACTGCAGACTCCACCTCCCAGGTTCAAGCGATTCTCCTGCCTCAGCCTCCCGGTGGCTGGGACTACAGGCATGCAGCACCACACCCAGCCGATTATTGTATTTTTAGTAGAGAGGAGGTTTCACCATGTTGGCCAGGTTGGTCTCAAACTTCTGACCTCAGGTGATCCACCCACCTCGGCCTCCCAAAGTGCTAGGATTATAAGTGTGAGCCGGCATGCCTGGCCAAATCAGAATCTTTTATTTTATTAATATTATTATTTTTGAGACAGAGTGTTTTTCTGTTGCCCAGGCTGCAGTGTAGCAGCACAATCTTGGCTCACTGCAACCTCCACCTTCCGGGTTCAAGCGATTCTTGTGCCTCAGCCTCCTGAGTAGTTGGGATTACAGACATGTGCCACCACCCCCAGCTAATTTTTGTATTTTCAGTAGAGACAGGGTTCATTATGTTGGCCAGGCTGGTGTCGAACCCCTGGCCTCAAGTGAGCTGCCCACTTCGGCCTCCCAAAGTGTTGGGATTACAGGCGTGAGCCCCCACGCCTGGCCATGGAATTAGAACCTTTTACGATGGGCAGCACACAAGCCTGTGCTCTCTAGGGTGATACTATCTTCCTTCCAAGGTTGTAAGCCCACTGCCCTTTGCTGTTGAGGAAAATGTCTCTACCTTCCAAGATTGTTCGTTTGTCTACTATAAAAACTTACTATTAAACAGTAGGTTCTCCAGGCTCAGTGTTCTTCGCTTGAGATGCAAATCCACTGCATGTTCAGCATCTGCCTGGCTCATGGCATTGCCGCCATGGGTCTTGGAGAACATACCGTGGTAATATAAAGTGTTTTGTCTCTGACCCAGAAGTCTCCTGTCTTTTGCCAACATCCAATCTTTTAGCTTGCAAATAGGGTAAAATCAAATCCCAGACTTGATGCCTCTGATATAACCCAAGTGAATTTATTTTTTAGAAACTGATGTTTATTTTCCATCAACCTTATTTCTATGTTGCTTAAAAGCCCATTAAAGAACAGCTTAAGACCATTCAGTGAGGCCGGGCGTGGTGGCTCACGCCTGTAATCCCAACACTCTGGGAGGCCAAGGTGGGCGGATCACAAGGTCAAGAGATCGAGACCATCCTGGCCAACATGGTGAAACCCCATCTCTACTAAAAATACAAAAATTAGCTGGGTGTGGTGGCGTGCACCTGTAGGCCCAGCTACTCGGGAGGCTGAGGCAGGAGAATTGCTTGAACCTGGGAGGTGGACGTTGCAATCTAGATTGTGCCACTGTACTCCAGCCTGGTGACAGGGCGAGACTCTGTGTCAAAAAAAAAAGACCATTCAGTGGTTGCTCCTACCCATTCAGTGGCCTGAGCAGCGTGAGTTGCAGACCAGTCTTCCATGGCAGGCTGGGTGCTCCAGTCTTCAGTACAGACCTGCCGGATAGGCACAGAGGGCGCCTGCGCGCCTTCAGACCAGTCTGCACCCTCAGGCTGAGGAGCAGTGAAGTCGGGAGCTGGAGCAGTCCGTTCGCCCTGAATTCCTCTTTGGTCACAGCCTTGTCAGCAACAGCCTGCTCTTCTTTTTCAGTGTCTTCAGGGTCTCTGTAGAAGCAGAGATCAGGCATGACCTCCCACGAATGTTCATGGGAAATGGTCCCATACATGCGCAGAACTTCCCGAGCCAGCATCCACCACATCAGACCCGCTGAGGGAGCTCCCTGGATGTTGCCTGGGAGGGCAATGTCCACACAGCATGGAGGAGGTAGGTGGGTTAACATAAGGTGTCTCTGTGAGAGGCTGGTGGGCAGCCCTGGGATAAGTAACCACCAGAAGCTGGGGCTCCCTGGAGGCTGCCTGGATCTGGTTAGTGAAGGTTCCAGGAGCGAAGCAGCCAGCAACTGGAGTGGCCCCAGTGGCAGTAGCAAACTTCGGCACCGCCCTCTGGCCAGTACTCCTGCAGGACACGACACTGACATCAGCAGGGCTTTTAAAGGCAGCAACGGCACGAGCTGCCAGCAGAAACTTCTCCCAGGCCCTCCTCAGATTTAGGATGCAGACACCATCACTTTTCTTCTTACAGATGTATTGCTCCATTTGGAAGTCAAGGCTGCTTTCATCTCTGTGGGTTCCTGCTGCAAGGAACTTAAGGTCATCTTCCTCCTCCGTTTGCAGGACATCCAGCGCTCCAGACATTGTGAAAGTTTCCCTTTAAGTTACAACAGGAATGCAGAACAATGCCATTTGGGCCCCTCTCTGCGTTGTGTGGAAAAGGCGTGAATTTAGTTTTTCAGACAAGCCATGCGCTGGGAGACATCAGAGATGTTGTTCTCTCTGAGCAACGCTGTCCTCTTCTCTTGGAGACCTCTGTCAGTTTCTCTGGGAAGTCTTCTCCCCCAGGCTCCCATGGCCCTTCCTTCAACTGGGCTATATTCCCTGTCTCTAAATGTTTGTTTGCAGAGCCTTCTCCCCCAACGCAACAGGATGTTTGTGAGGTCAGATATAGCCTCTTCTCAATTGTATCTCCAGGGTCAACACATCACCCGACACCCTGTAGGTGCTTAATAAATATTTATGGAATGAATGAAGTGCGTAACGCGGTCTGCGAGTACAAAGGAAGGGAACCTCAGTCTGAGTGGAGGTTTGGGAAAGGCCTCCTGGAAGAGGTGACACTTGAGGCTGACCTGAAGGACAGGTTGGTCAGGTGTTTCAGGCGGTGAGGACGGTAGCGTGAATGCACAACTGTGGGAACTCGGGTGGTGCCTTTGAGTAATGGCTAATGACCGTATGGCTGCAGCTGGGGTCGGGGGAATGGCGTGGCTGGGAACCACGCTGACTGAGGGATGGATTATGAAAAAGTGAAAGCCTGCTTTCCATTTCAGGCTGGGACTTTGTATTTACTTATTTGTTTGTGAGACAGGGTCTCACTCTGTCACCCAGGCTGGCAAGATCTCGGCTCACTGCAACCTCCGCCTCCTGAATTCAAGTGATTCTCCCACCTCAGCCTCTCCAGTAGCTGGGATTACAGGTTTGTGCCACCTACGCCTGGTTAATTTTTGTATTTGTATTTTTTTAGATGGATCTTGCTCTGTCACCCAGGCTGGGGCGCAGCGGCTCAGTCTTGGCTCACTGCAACCTCTGCCTCTCAGGTTCAAGTGATTCTCTTGCCTCGGCCAACCAAGTAGCTGGGATTACAGGCACGCATCACCATGCCTGGCTAATTTTTGTATTTGTATTTGTATTTTTTTGAGATGGATCTCGCTCTGGCACCCAGGCTGGAGTGTAATGGTGTGATCTTGGCTCACTGCAACCTCCGCCTCCTGGGTTCAAGCAATTCAGCTGCCTCAGCCTCCTGAGTAACTGGGATTACAGGCACGCGCCACCACGCCCGGCTAATTTTTGTATTTTTAGTAGAGACGGGGGTTTCACCATGTTGGCCAGGCTGGCCTCGAACTCCTGACCTCAAGTGATCCCACCGCCTCAGCCTCCTAGAGTGCTGGGAATACGGGAATGAGACAGGCTTGGACATTGTTAAAGGCATACAGAATAACACAAAGTGGTAAGATGTAGAAGAAAGAGTTGCAATTTAAGAAAACTTGGCTTGCGACGTTGGTTCCTCTAGGGGCCGGCCCTGCCAGGCTGGGCGAGCCCTGTCCCCTCTGGCCTGAGGCTCAGGGAAGCGGCGATGACATCTCCCTCCAGCGGGCTCTGCGGCGATTAAATGCGATCGTAGGGAAAGCGCCTGGTATGTGCCGTTACTCAAGAAGTGTCAGCTGTGCCTCTTCGCTGTGGCCTCATCCTCCTCACCTGCAGATGCGGGGAGGCCGGGCCACTGTCGCAGGTGTGCCCCCGAGCCGGCCGAGCGCTCAGGTGGGAGGGGAAGCGGTGCGGAGAGGGGCGCCAGCCCGGCGTCCCGGCCCCGTGGCCGGTTCGAGGCCGCTCAGCCGCGCGGGGGCGCTCTAGGGCGCTCTAGACCGCTCCTCGCGCTCTATGATGTTTCCTTCGCCCCGGAAGTGGTTCCCCAGCCGGGGTTGGTAAGGTCGGGCCATGGTGGGGCAGAGGTTGGGAAGATGGCGTGGCGAGGCTGGTCGCAGAGAGGCTGGGGCTGCGGCCAGGCGTGGGCTGCGCCGGTGGGCGGCCGCGGCTGCGAGGAGCTCACTGCGGCCCTAGCCCCGCCGCGGCTGCTCGGACGCAGGTAATGGCCGCCGCCCTGGGCTGCTCGCCTCTTGGTCCCTGAGCTCCGGCCGTGCATCCTCAGGGGCGGAGGCCGTGTGGCCTCTCGCGCTGCCCCTGCTGTCTCCTCTCTCGCGTCGGTCACGTCCTCGCTTCTCGCCGCACCGCCCTTGCCCGGCCCTCCGCGAACCTGCGCTTTCTGTTTTCTCGTTGGGGAGGACGTGACGGGAAGGGGAACTAAGCTGAGGGTTCGCTCCGCGCCACGCTGCTGTTGGGCCGGTTAGTCCAGCTGGACTGGTAGGGTGGCGGAGCTTCTCTGTCCATCTGATTGTAAAGGCTGCGCTCCATTAAACCAGTTGCCTTCTTTAGCTTCTGGTGAGCTAAGGGAGGACGAAGGCAGCGGGAGGGCATCACTTTGTGTCTTGTAAAGTGGCGGGAGAGGCTTTTCTGTTGAATTGAGACAGTGGAAGATTTGGTTTCCGGTTGATGTGCAAAGAAAACTACCGAACCTTCCGAGTAGAAGGGTGAAGCGTATGGTGTATCAGTATTTGCTGATTTTTGCATTACAGTAATTCATTTCTTATTTGAGAGAGGAGAGAGAAATCCCTCAAGTGTTTAAGAATCTGATGATGTGCATTTGGCTTTGAAAATTTTCCTCTGTTGTTCAGAGCTTCACTCCTACCAGTTTCTGACTTGGTTAGATGGGTGCCTCGAATCCACCTGATTGCTGTTAATAAGAAACATTAAAGCCGGGTGTGGTGACTCACACCTGTAATCCCAGAACTTTGGGGGGCCGAGGCGGGCGGATCACCTGAGGTCAGGAGTTCGAGCGGGCGTGGTCCTGCTTGCCTGTAATCCCAACTACTCGGGAGGCTGAGGCAGGAGAATCGCTTGAACCTGGGAGGTGGAGGTTGCGGTGAGCCCAGATGGTGACATTGCACTCCAGCCTGGGCAACAAGAGCGAAGCTCCGTCTCAAAAAAAAAAAAAAAAAAAAAAAAAAAAAAAATCAAGTGTTTATCACACGTGGGATAGCCAGTGGTAAATAATCGAGGCCCTAATGTGGTGGAGCCATTGCCTAGTCTCAAGAATCACCTGGAGAGTTTGTGTGGTTATTTTCTATCCCAGGCCTCACCCCGGTGCTACCACATCACAATCAGGAGAGGGGTGGCAGAGTGAAAGAACCTGTATGTCCTACAAGCATTCCAGGTGAATTTTATCAGGGCCTTGTGAAAACCTTACATACATTGTATCTTCATACACTGTAACAGATCTGTCGGCACTAATCTTAAACTCCTGAGGATGTGGAAAATGAGGACAGGTGGAAGTGGTAATCCCATTTGAGATTGCATGGTTTAAGGGGGAAGAAAAGATTAATATTGGCTGGGTGCGGTGGCTCACACGTCTGTAATCCTAGCACTTTGGGAGGCGAAGGCAGGTGGATCACCTGAGTTCAGGAGTTCAAGACCACCCTGGCCAACATGGCAAAACCCCGCCTTTACTAAAAATACAAAAAATCAGCCGGTTGTGGTGGTGGGCGCCTGTAATCCCAGCTACTTTGGAGGTTGAGGCGGGAGAATCGCTTGAACTGGGGAGGTAGAGGTTGCTCTGAGCCGAGATTGTGCCACTGCACTCCAACTTGAGCAACAGAATGAGACTCCATCTAAAATAAATAAATAAATACACGTATTAGGAAGCAACAGGAAGCGTGTTAAACATTTAAGATTTACGTGCACATCGCTGTGCTGGTTTTAGGAAGGGGAAGCAAAAGAAAACTAATGAGCCTCCAGTAAAAATTGGGCATGAAGATCATTTGAAACAACAGTGAACAAGGAACACATGAAATATTGAAGATTAATATTTAATGTCTGAAAAACCTGCCATTTGTATAGAAAGTTTGAAATGACATTTTTGTGGTTGCATAGAAAAATATACGTTACATGAGAATATACACCTGAAATAGGGCATTTGCCTCTGGAAATAAGCTCTTAATAGAATCCGTTACCTTATATATAAACTTTATTAGCTGTATGCTGACTTATTATGGCTCTGAAATTAACAAGAATGGCCCAATCCATGTCATTTGATGTATTAATAGTAGGCTGAAGTGGGACCAGGAATTTGCATTTTACAGGTACTTTGGATGGCGACACTAGGGTCTGAAAACTGCATGCCCAAGGCAGCCCACCAGCCAAAGATGGTTTACGGTTTTGAAGGATTGTAAAACAAAAGTAGTAATATATGACATTTCACTAGTCCACAGAGACTGAAATATCTTCTGTCTGGCCTTTTACACAAAAAGGAAAAAAAGTCTCATTTGAGCTCTTCGCAAACTTTACTGTTACCAAGGTTTGCAGCCTGAAAGTCGAAAGCTGCATAATTTGCCAATTGTTTGAAACTGTCCAAGGGAAGAAAAAGAGTTGAATTTTAACACTTACCATTTTATATTTTTAGAAAGCTTGTTTGTATGGAAAATTTATATTGAGATGATAGTCTGCGTGTGTGTGTGTGTGTATGTGTGTATGTGTATGTGTGTGTGTGTGTATCTCTTTCTTTCTTTTTGAGACAGTATCGCTCTGTCGCCAGGCAGTTCCCCTTCCTCAGCCTCCCTAGTAGCTGGGACTACAGGCGCACACCACCTTTTTTTTTTTTTTTTTTTTGTATTTTAGTAGTGATGGGGTTTCACCATGTTGGCCAGGATGGTCTTGATCTCCTCCCCTCGTGTTGCCACCCACCTCGGCCTCCCAAAGTGCTGGGATTACAGGTGTGAGCCACCATGCCTGGCCTTTTTTTTTTTTTTTTCCAAAGACAGAGTCTTGCTCTGTTGCCCAGGCTGGAGTGCAGTGGCGGTATCTCAGCTTACGGCAATCTCCGCCTCCCAGGTTCAAGCGATTCTCCTGCCTCAGCCTCCCGAGTAGCTGGGATTATAGGCATGCTCCACCATGATGCCTGGCTAATTTTTGTGTTTTTTAATAGAGACGGGGGTTTTGCTATGTTGGCCAGGCTGATCTCTAACTCCTGACCTCAAGTGATTTGCCCACCTCGGTCTCCCAAAGTGCTGTTGCAGGCTTGAGTCTCCATGCCTACCTTCAAAATATCTTTAGGTAAGATACTTGACATATTAGTCAGTCATGTACATTATATTTTGTTTTAACTGACCATCTATTAACTCAAGATGGGGTCAGGAAAATAATTGTGGCATGCCAGAGTTTATGTAGTGGACACCCCCCTACCCCCCACCCCCGCAATATCTTTTGTTTTCTTAAGAGGCAAGTTGCTCTGTCACCCAGGCTGAAATGCAGTGACACCATCATAGCTCACTGCAGCCTCAAGCTCCTGGGTTCAAGGGATCCCCCTCCTCAGCCTCCCGAGTAGCAAGGACTACAGATACACGCTACCGTGCCTTGGGCTCTATTTTAAGTGGAATGAATCTAATCAATTGTGTATGCTTAGACACGTTTTGTCTCCATTTGAACATTAGGCCATTTCTGCTCAATTTGTTCATACAAATCTTGAGTAACACACATTAGTGCTGACCTGTATATTTAAGTCATATTGTCTTTACCCTTGCACTCTCGAAAACAATTCATAAGGGCTGTGCGGTGGCACAGGCCTGTAGTCCCAGCACTTTGGGAGGCTGGGGCCGGAAGATTGCTTGAGTCTAGGAGTTTGACACCAGCCTGGGCAATATATGGACCCCTGTCTTCACAACAAATAAAAAAGATTAATGTGTATGGTGGTGCTTGCCTCTGGTTCCAGCTACTTGGGAGGTTAAGGTAGGAGGATTGCCTGAGCCTGGAAGGTGAGGGCTGCTGTGAGCCACGAGGGCACTACCACACTCCAGTCTGGGCGAGAGAGTGAGACCGTGTCTCATAAAACCCAAAAAAAAAAACAAAACATCTCATGAGACTGTTGTCACTCACTATTAGGTCAACAAACATGTGGATATGACATTTTCTACTTAAAAGTTACAGGGCTAGCTGGGTGCATTGGCTCACGCCTCTAATCCCAACACTTTGGGAGGCTGAGGTGGGTGGATCACCTGAGGTCAGGAGTTCGAGACCGGCCTGACCAATATGGTGAAACTCCATCTTAAAAAAAAAAAAGTTAAAAAAAATAAAAGTTACGGGGCTGTATTAAAAAAAAAAAAAAAACAACCGAACCATGACTGTGTGGCTGGTGGCAAATTAAGTATTCATGGGATCCGCCATTTGAGCACATTCGGTTGCCTCCACAAATCACTAGTTATTGGCAGAAGGACCAAAGCAGGAGACTCAAGGCAGGCCTGCCTTCCTGAGCTGGTAAATGCCTCAAGGGACCCTCTTCCCCATCCCCATCCATTTCACTGTGCTTCACCTTGTTTTCCTAACTTATTCAGGTCGGTAATTTATTTTTCTTTCTTATATACCCATCTGATTCAGTAGAGCCAGATAACCTAAACCTGAGAATAAGATCTCAAACATTTGCCATCGGAGACATTTATCATGCTTTTCCTGGTTTGTTTCACACTTGAAGAAATTCAAGGCCGGATGCAGTGGCTCATGCCTGTAATCCTTTGGCAGCACTTTGGGAAGCACATTGGGAGGTCAAGGCAGGCAGATCATCTGAGGTCAGGAGTTTGAGACCAGCCTGGTCAATATGGCCAAACCCCATCTCTACTAAAAATACAAAAAAAAAAAAAAAAAAAAGCCAGGCCTGGTGGCGGGCACCTATAATCCCAGCTTCTCAGGAGGCTGAGGCAGGAGAATCACTCGAACTCCAGAGGTGGAAGTTGCAGTGAGTTGAGATGGCACCGCCGCACTCCAGCCTGGGCAACAGAGTGAGACTCAAAAAAAAAAAAAAATTATTTATTTAATTTGAGCTAGAGTTTCACTCTTTTGCCGACGCTGGAGTGAAGTGGTATGATCTCGGCTCACTGCAACCCCTGCCCCTCCAGGTTGAAGCGATTCTTCTGCCTCAGTCTCCCAAGTAGCTAGGATTACAGGCATGTGCCATCATACCCGGCTAATTTTTGTATTTTTAGT